TGCCGAGCACCCGCGGACCAGGAGGCATGCCGAAGCAGCGGAACACGTCAGTTGGGGATGGCGGCGCCTCGAGGAGTGCCACTCAGGCTTGCGCGCCCCGCCAGGAGGTCCCATCCAAGCTACCACCCAATGCGCCACCACTGAGCACCAGCGTGCGGAATGCGTCAGGCAACAGCGGCGGCCACGCCGGGACAGTTCACAACAGGGGGCCCACAACTAAAGCCAAAGCACTTTGGTGGAGCCCAGATGGACACACTCTTTGAGCGAGCGCAGCCACCACATGGGATGCAGCGAAAGACGCGAGGACATGATCGCACGGCTGACCAACAACATCAGCGATTGCCAGTGCGATCGAAACGCTCCGCTCTTCGAGGCCCACGTCCACAAGCCGATTGCTCGAGACTACGACGGCGTGGATAGAGCGGGGGACCACTGTATCGTCGGGGACGACTGCCACAACGCGTACATTCAGCGCGACAGGACCATGGTGCACGTCGAAGCATGACTCACCGATGCCCTCATGTACGAAGGACTACAGGAAACGCCTTCCACCATGGCACATAGGCAGCGCGCGCGCCCACTTCGCCGAACATCCGCTCGCGATGCGGCGACGACATACTTTCGCCAGCCGCAGTGAACAACTTAAGACGCAGCCGACTCACGCGAATCAAAGTAGGCACACGCTACAAACCTACCTCGCAGCCCGTGCCATTCCCCAACACCCGGTGCCGGAGGGGCACCGCCGCCGCTGCCATCATCGAGATCAACGAGCGGATCAACGCCCGAGCTCTGACCTGACAGCCGAGCCACGGGATCGCGAGACTCAGCATCACCGCGCAGCGGGCCAGCCGCGAGATCCAGCCACTAGTAACCGGCCCAAAGCAGGCACGAGCTCTAACCCACAGATCGAGCAGCGACATCAAGATTGGCCGACAGAGCAACTTGCAATGCAGAGCGAGGCGACCAGTTTCGGCAACGCCGTCGCTAGGATCAACCGCCTAGAGGAAGCTCTCGCTCAATTCGTAACCTCGAGAGGGCAGCGCGCCGAGCCAACCGCGAAAGCGGGGGCCGACCCGCAGCGGCTCGAACGCTGACGCCCAGCTAGCACTGACGCACAGCGACCACCAGTAGGTGCTTGCAGACCTCTGCCCTACGATCACAGACCACAGCGACACGTCGTCGATTTCTCCACCCAATCCTTTCCAGCCAGTCTGAGAACGCGCAATCGCTGGGGACCCATGCGCAAGGGGGAGACAAGGAGACCCCGTGGGGCAGCAAGACCAGCAGGCTGAAGCTCCGAAGCGGGCGCGACGACCAAAGCCGACAAGGAGTGGCAGCCGTGGCCGCCTGGGGACGTCGCGCGCCACCTCGACCAATTGGACAACGACTCCACGGCGAATCCGGAGACCCCCCACCCCCCCTCATCGCCACCGACCTTGAGGCGCCTGCTTTAAGATTGGACCGGCCGAACGGCGGCCCATCAGTGCTCCGCCAACCTCGCATTTCACCATTGAGCAGTTTTGCTCGAGGACAGACGCGACATCGCACCAGCTGCTCCGTACGTCATCCTTGTCTCGGCACGACTCGTGCGCCAAGACGCACGCAGTCATCGACGTCATTGGCAGCAGAATAGCTGGTTGCAAACTGCTCTCAGTCCTATTCCCCCCAACGGCACCGCGCAGCGAGGGCAGTGGACTGCCTGCATCTGCGTCGACGGCAGTAGCGCCGCAGACACCCAGCAACGCAAAACAGCGCATGGCGCGAAAAGCAAGCACAGCTATGCAATGCTGTAGGTCCCCAACAGGGCTTGCCCTCCCACGGATGCCGCGTCGACCGACGTACGCGAAGCATGTGTCCACGCAGAACATTCTCACCCACGGGCGACGACAGTGGGTGCCAGCAGAACTTCCTCATCCACGAGCGAGCCAGACCATGAAGGCTCCCACCAACCTCCAACCTTCATTCGCTCCTGGCTCACCTCCTCGCAGCCCCTCCCCCCGTCTTCACCTCGCTGGCCTCCCACCGCCCCTCTCTCGCGGCAGAGATTGGTTGGCAATGGGCTTTGGCAGAAGGGGGGATTTGGGGGGCTCGCCGCAGGCCGCGCGGGCCAGGGCGGCGGTGGCTGCATCGCAACAGACCGCTTGGAGCGTCGCAGCCATGCCCGACGCCCCGCTCGGGATGCACTCGCGCGGCGCGCGGAGCCACAGCCGACACTCCCCGCCACCCTCCGGGATTGCCACGCTGCCTCGCACTCCGCGGTGGGTGTGGGATCGGATCTCATCGGGCTGGGCGTGGGGGGCGACCATTTTCTTACAGTGCCGTTTTTAACACATGCTCCGCGTGCGGAGCATGCATCAAACATGCAGGGATGCAGCATTACAAAACAACGGTGCGTTCGTGCAGAGATTTATTCATACATTGCTCATGTATCAAACATCCTATACTTTTAAACGTCCCATGTGTTAAAAACTGCCCTGCACGGCCGTGCCATCACCAGGGAGGGCATGCGCCTCCCCCAAGCACGGCGGGCCCCGCGCCCCCCGGGGCGGCCACCGCTCCCGCGGCCTGGGCATACCGAACTCTTTGCTTCGCCCGGGGAGAACACCAGTCGCGGGGATGGTGGGCGCTGTGGTTCGGGGGCGGAAAAGAGGGGGGGTGATGACTAGGGGGGGGTGGATATCATGGCGGGGGCCATGATATTTCCCCAGATCTCGTGGCGCCTCTTCTTATTTCATTACTTCCCTGGCCCCCCAGCTGGGCCGCGCACATGCCGCCGGTCATGATTTGCACCCCCCCCTCTTGGACACCCCCCTCTTGGCCGCTCCCGAGTGGTGGTGTCCCTACGTGCAGAGGGGAGAGGCCCCGATGCCCTTTATCCTCGACGAGCGTGGCCGCACACTCTACAGGCGAGCGCGGGAGGTCCCAGCACAGCGTGGAAGGCACAAGCTCCCTCGCTCTTCGGTGGAGCCCCCCCAGGCGGCCGGTCAATGCACCGGGAACCCTACGCCTGCTTGCAGGCGAGGGATCCCGTCTTTGACCTTGGGGACGCTTGCGAGGGGGTCCCAGGAGCAGAGGGAAAAGCCTTTTGTCAAGCAGTAGCGAAGCGTCCTGGCTCGCCGATAGCTATAGTCCTACCAAACAATGTTCTAAGAACCTTTTGTGGTTCCCACGAAATGTTCTTGGAACATTTCTGGTTGGGACTGTCTTGTTTTATCACATCGGTTTGTGCTCTAAGAACATGTTTTTGTTCTTAGAACATGCTTGGGTTCTACGAGACTTTCGTTGTAGGACTATAGGAATGCCGGGACGGTCGGTCCCTGCTCAATTTTGTGTTGTCCACCCCCGCCAGTGTAGATACGGACCGTTACCTCGACACCTTCACGGCACGCTAACATGTTATTGCTCGCCTCACCAACCTCAACGCCGAATGCTGCATTTACCATTATCATGATAGGATTCACGGTTACAGCCATGTGTCCGCCCCCCCGTCGCCGCATGTGTTGCGCCTCCCATCAGGAGGTTTGCCATCTCTCGGACGTGTGCATTTTTTTTCTGCGACGGCCATCGATGAGCATCTTTGATCATTTTGCGGAAAAAAAAAACACGCACGAAATCGAAGAATACACGTGGAATGGAGCGCCCGTCCGAGCGCAGCATCTGCCACAACAGCCACGACAGCTCAGTGCAGCGTCGCAGCCGCAACCTACATGACGGGGTGGGATATCGACATACTTGGCATCGCTCGGACGTGTGCATTTTTTCCTTCGGCGGGGACCATCGGGGAGCATCCTTGATCATTCGGCGAAAAAAATACGAACGAAACAAAAAAACACAAGGAATGAACGTCCGAGCGATGGCCAGCATAGGCGATCGCCGCATTTGGCCTGCTCGTGCAGCGTCGACCACCTTTCCTACCTCCGCAGCTGCCACGCCACTCGGACAGCCCACTGCATGCGGTCTCGCAGTCGCCACCTGCAGGATGGGGTGTTTTTTTCATGGGCGGAGGGAGTGATACTACAACAGGGCGACCGCCACATCCAACATGATCGCGCAGCTTTAATGGTGTAGCCATGCGTCTGCCACCCCTCGCCTTCTCTTCCCTTTTTTATGTAATCGTTTCCTTATCTCTCTTTCCTCCTCCCCTCGTCACTATTTGTCTGCTTTCTTTTTCCAACAATTCTCTCGTAGCCACAGCTGGTCACACACGTGACCTGGCTGTTTAGTTCGATCGCTTCCCCAGGGCCGACCAGCCTTGGGAGGGGGAGGCAGCGCCCGCACGGACTTCATGCCACCAGGAGCAAGGAACCGGGAGGAAGAGGAGCAGGAGGAGGAGGAGGCGGGAGTAGGAGGACGCCCCGAGGGGGCCCCTCCCGTAGGGGAGGGGTCGGGACCCTAGGGTCCCCCTGGCGCAGGCGGGGAGCGCCGGGCCCGAGGGGCGAAAAGCCCCCGCTCCCCGGGGGACGCCGCCAAAGCGCGGTTTCCTTCCCCCGGGGGGGTCGCCAGGCCCCGGGTGCTTCCCCAGGGCGGTGCTGGGTTCCCCCCCAGCACTCGCCGCCCTGGGGCGGGGTCGGCGGCCCGTCCCTGTCGTGTCGCTCGTTCGTGTCGTGTCGTTCGTGTCGTGTCGTTCGTTTCGTCCCCCTGTCGTGTCGTGTCGTGTCGTGTCGGGGTCCCGGGGTCCGAAATCGCGGCCTCCCATGGAGTGGGCGGTGGGTAGGGTTGGCGCGGAGCACGTGCTCCTGCGCCCCCTACCCCGACCAGGGAGCGCGGAGCACGGTCTCCTGCGCTCCCTGGTCGCGCTTAGGTCGTGCCACGGGGGCACGGCCCCGACCGTGGCGCGGCCGTGGCCATGCTCTGTGTGTGTCTCGGCTCAGCGCATGGCAGTCCAGTCTCGGAGGCACGGCGGTGCGAGGTTAAAAAAAAGGGAGTAGGAGGACGCGAGGAGGAGGAGGAGGAGGACCGGAGGACCGGAGGGTACAGGGGCGCCCAAGCGTCCTCCGAAGGACCATGTGGTCCTACGTGGGCGAGGGCCGCGGTGGGTACGAGCAGGCGGCGCAGGGATCCTCCTCATCTCCAGTGTCAGGGGCAACGTTACCCATCGGTCGTTGAAAGTATGTATGTTAGGATTCCCAGAACCAAATCTACTTCAAGCGCCCTCCTTCCAGAGTCGATATGCTTTCGCTGCGTCTCGTTACCCTGGGCGGACCCGAACCCAATCTACTTTTCCCGCCTTTCTACATCATATTTCTACCGATTGTTTCCGACCGATGGGCCATGTGCGGATATCCATACGCATGCAGAGCAACTCTATTGCCCACTTGTCGTTCAGGCCACGGTTCGTAGCATGAGCTTGTTTATTGGAGGTCGGTTTGGTCGGTGTTCTTGGTTCGTTAGGCGACGTCTTGTATCGATATGTGGTAGGATATCCAGTGAAGTTTTGCGAAGACACGCAAACGCTAATGAGGAACAATCAAGACGCTGAAATAAGGACGACATTGGGCTCATATATGATGTTCCAACCTACTTTAGCCTTGATCGCCAGAAGGTCCCGGAACTTGAGGGTTTCACGTGTCGGGCCCTTGGAGGCGATACTCGTTCGACATTATTTCGATCATTTTCTGGGTGCTCGAACTTATTTCTGGGATGCGGTCCTAAGTACGATGGGAGCAACATTGAGCTCAGAGGGGTCACTAGTTTTCGGGTCGTTCCTTAGACCTGGGTCGGGGAACCCCATTCGTGGTCGAAGCTCGTCGTGGCCACAAAAGGTCCTTCTGCTCCTCATTTAATCGCTTCGCTCATTCCGCCGGCCCATATTGCCTCGCCGCTTGGGGGCCGCGTTGGGTCCTCTTGAGGGCCTCTGGGACGCAGTTTTGAGGTCTCCTCGGGACCGTGTTGGGGCCTCCTGGGGGCCTTTTGGGGTGCCTCTTGGGGGTCCCTTGGGGCCGCTTGGGGACCTGTTGGGGCCTCCTGGGGGCCCCTTGGGGCTGAAGGCTGGACTTGTCGGTTCCTCGTCCCCGTCTTGGGCCTCTCTTGGGGCAGTTTTGGGGCCATCTTGGGCCATCTTAGGCGCCTCTTGGGCTGTCTTTGAACCATATTGGGCCTTCTTGGGGCCCTCTTGGAAGCTTCTTGGGCCATCTTGGGGCGGTCTTGGGGGCATCTTGGGCCATCTTGGAGCGTTGGGAAACCGAAAAGACGAGAAACGTCGTGCATGCGAAAAAACAAGTTTTCCAAAGGGAATGGGGCGATTTTTGCTTGTTGGGGCCCTCTTGGAGTCGGACCGGCCGGGGTACTTTGCGTCCGGGGGTCCCCAGGGGCCGCCACGCGCGCGCGAATTAGAAATATTGTTAACCTGTTACTGGAGATCTTAGCAAGCCTCTGGCCCGTTGGGCCAGCGAATTCAGCATGCCTTATGGTAGCACGATGGCTGTAGGCCCCCCAGCCCCCTCAGGGGCAACGTTCGGTGGGGATGGACTTAGGAGCTACTTTGGTGTTCTCTTTGGTTTTCGAGCGTGTTCTTTGGTTCTCGGTGGTTTTCCAGCCTCGCGATGCTCTCTAGCAGCTGCGCCTCGCCGAGAACCTTCCAGGAGTGCCAGGATAGCCCCGGACGGCCGCCGGAGAAGAGCCGAGCTACGACCCGAAAGCCGAGGGGCAATGTCAGGGGGGGGGGGGCAGGTTGAGGTGGGGAGGCATCGGTCCCTTCCACTGCCCACTCCTCGCGGATCGCCGATCCATCGGCGGTGTAGCGCCAGCCTGCAGGTCGATGCTTCCCCCGAGCCGGCCCACTGCGATCCGATCGCTTCGCTTCGGTCCGGCGGCGCCCCATGCCTGGGAGCGCCCTGCTCGCCTCCAGGGTGCCCTGGGTTTCCTTGGCTGCGGCGGGTCCCGCTCTGGAGAGCTCGACGCTCCCACCCCAGAAGTCACCGGACGTCCTTCAGGAGGGAAAGAAACACGCAGACACACTTGAGCGTGGACTCCCCAGAAAATATGGGAACATAATATGGGAAGTGGGGGGGAAGACAGAAACCCAGAAAATATGGGGAAATATGGGGAATCATTTTATTTGTGTGTATTTATGTATTTATGTGTGTGTGTCCTCGGGGCCCTTCATGTACGTCCTGGGGTCTCAGGGTTGCGCTCCTTGTGGCGAGCTTCTTGTGGACAGGCCTCCGCTGCATCACGGCCGGCAGCAGCAGGATCCGATGCGCTTGCAGAGGAGGAGCGAGGAGGAGCGAGGAGGAGCGAGGAGGAGCGAGGAGGAGGAGGAGGAGGAGGAGGAGGAGGAGGAGGAGGACGAGGAGCGAGGAGCGAGGAGCGAGGAGCGCGGAGCGAGGAGGAGCGAGGAGGAGGAGGAGCGAGGAGGAGGAGGAGGAGGAGGAGGAGGAGGAGTAGTGAGGACGAGGAGCGAGGAGGAGGAGGAGGAGGAGGAGGCAGGCGGAGGAGGGAGCGAGGAGGAGCGCGGAGGGGAGGAGGAGGAGGAGGAGGAGGAGGAGGAGGAGGAGGAGCGAGGAGGCGGGAAGGAGAGGAGGAGCGAGCGGAGGAGGAGGAGGAAGAGGAAACGAGGAGGAGGAGGAGTAGGAGGAGGAGGAGGAACGAGGAGGAGGAGGAGGAGGAGGAGGAGGAGGAGGAGGCTCCCTGGCGACCCGACGGGGCCCGCTGTGCCCGCCTGGCGCCGGCGTGAGCTGCTGGGCGCGGCCGCTGCGCTGCCGCTCAGCGCCCCCTCGCGCGCCAGTCCACCAGAGAGCCCTGCACGCCTCCAAGAGGAAACAGCTTTTGGGCACGAGGGGCGCAGGTGCGGCGCTTTCCGGTGGCTCTCTCCTCCCCGGGCGGATCGGCCCAGATCCCCCCCCCGGGAACGCCGAAGAGAAGTGGGGTCGCTCGAAGAAGAACAGCGCCGCCGTGTACACCTGTAAACTGTTGGCGTTCCGCGCGGATGTCTTGGATCCGCGCTGGGCCCCCCCCAGCGGCGTTTCCGACGCTGCCCCTGGCGCGCCCCGCGCGCCGGGGAGGGGGGTCCGGCACGGACCCAGGAGATCCGCGCGGGGCGCCAAGAGCTTACCCTTCCTGTGGCCTCTTCTCCCTCGAACGCCGTCGCGGCCACGTCGCGCACACGCCCCTGGGGGCAGGCGCCCCCAGCAGCGCGCCGAGAGGGCCGCCGAGGCCTCCTCGCCGCGGGCCGAATCCGCTGGCCGGCCGCGCGGGCCCGCCGCGGCCGCGCGGGCGGCCCCGCACGGGTGCCGGCCGCCACTGGGCGGCCCCACGTGTGCCGATGCGGCCTGGCCTGTAGATTTATGTGTGGCTCCCTGGGCCGCTGGATTAGGGGAACAAAGAGTGACATAAACATAAAAACTCGGAGGTCCGCGCGGATTTCTCGGATCGGCGCTGGACCCCCCTCCCTGGCGCGCTCCGCGCGCCAGGGGCGGCGCCGGAGGCGCCGCCAGGGGGCCTCAGCGCCGATCGTGAAATCCGTGCTGGATTACGATGTTTCTGAACCCAATCCACTTTTTGTTCCGCCTTCCTTTTACTTTTATTTTTTTTTTTTTTTATTTTTTGTTTTTTTTTTTATTTTTTGTTATTTTTTTTTTTTATTTTTTTTTTTTTTTATACTGGCCTGACGCACAGCTCGAGTCGACCCGGCCTCCCGATCCGACGTGGATTGATTCGGGGGCGGCAGAGAGGGGGGTGATGGCTAGGGGGGGTGGATCTCATGGCGGGGGCCACGATATTTAACTTCCCAGATCTCACGGCGCCTCGTCTTATCTCATGGCGTCCCTGGCCCCCCCCGCTGGGCCGCGCACATGCCGCCGGTGATGATTTGCACCCCCGCCACTTGGACACCCCCCTCTTGGCCGCTCCCGATTGATCCTGCCCTCCCTCCCACAACTACGGGGAACGAACCATGACATCAACAAAAAAAGCTCGGAGGTCCGCGCAGGTTTCTCGCATCGGCGCTGGAGAAAATTGGCGGGGCCTCCGGCGCCGCCCCTGGCGCGCTCCGCGCGCCAGAGAGGGGGCTCCGGCGCCGATCCGAGAAATCCGCGCGGACCTCCGAGTTTTCTATGCTCGTGTCATTCTTTGCTCCCCTGACAACGGAGTTTGGAACGAGGCCGAGGTGCACGTCTGCTCGGGCCTCCTTTCGCAGGCGATGTCTCTATCCCAACCCCCGACTCTTCGACGAGAAATGGAGCGGCGAAGACAAGTAGGGGAGCCCTAGGATACACCCCCAGGGGGCTACCCTACTGGGACGCACCCCTATCGAGGGTGGGCGCCCCCCCTCGTGTATCCCAGGGTTGGGCCCCAAATGCTCGGCCCATTCGAAAATCAGGAGGGGAAAAACACACAGACACAATTAATCGTCGATGCCCAGGAAAATATGCGAAAATATGGGAATTGGGGGGGAAGACAAAAACCCAGAAAATATTAGAAAATATGGGGAATATTTTTATTTGTGTGTATTTATTTGTGTGTTCTGGGGCCCCTTTAGAAAACCCCACGATGCCTGGGATAGGGGTCGTCATACCTCCTGTTGTCCTTTGCTCCCGGTGCGCCGGCGCCCCGGCGCCGCACCCGCAGCGCCCCCCCTGCAGACGGGGCGTGCCCATCTGCGGGCGTGCCCGGTGCTGCGTGCGGCCCTGGTGCTCCCTCCCACACCCTCGCCCCCTTCGCTTCGGTCGGGCGTGTCCTCCTACAGGTAGATTCTCGACGAAAAATACAAACTAGATCAAACATATTGAATTTTCGAAACTGCAGAACATCGTCCCCAGACTATGTTTTTACTATTTCTGAGTGTTCCTCCTGTAGAGGGACGTGCCCGGCGTAACCCGTCGCCTTGCCCCTGGTGGGACGAAGAAATGTACTCCAGACTTCATAATAAAAGGGAGGGGGTCTCATTTCGGGGTGGGGTCTCTTCCAGGCTATCTTGGAGGACCTGGGGGGTCTGGGGACGATGTTTTGGAGGGTTCTACCACGGGGGGGGGTCTGAAATGGCTTGTCTTGGAGGGTCCAGACCCCCTCCCTTTTATTACGAAATCTGGAGTACCGAGGCCGCTGCTCCCCGGACCTCTCCGGCGGCGCGTCCTGGCCGCGGTGCCGGGGCGAGGCCGGCCGTGCAGACGCGGGGCGGTCACAGCGGCATTTGCACATATGCTCCTCCTCCGGGCCCGGCCGGCCCCCCTTCCTCCCCCTCCCCTCCCTCCCTTCCTTCCTCCCCCTCCCCTCCTCCCTTCCTTCCTCCCCTCCCTCCCTTCCTTCCTGCCCCTCCCCTCCTCCCCCTTCCTTTCCTCCCCCTCCCCTCCCTCCCTTCCTTCTCCCCCCCCTTCCCTTTCCCCTCCCTTTTTCCCCTCTCCCTCCCCTCCCTCCCCTCCCCCCTTCCCCACCCTCCCCCTTCCTCCCCCTCCCCTCCCTCCCTCCCCTCCCTCCCCTCCCCTCCCTCCGGACGTGTGATGGGCAGGTGTGCTCGTACAACTTCGTCGGCGACGGCGTGGGCAGCTACGCGCCCGAGACCGTGTCGACGCCGTACGGGGCCAAGCCGGGCAGCCGCGCCGTCTGCCTCTGCCTCACGCTCGCCGTGCTGCTGGGGTCGCTGCTGGCGCTGTGGCTCCTGCACTCGCGGGCGGCGCCCGAGCCCGTGGCCGACCTGCAGGTTCGATGCTTCGGCGGCGAAAAACGAGCCCTCCCGGCGCTGATCATCCAAGAAGAACAAAAACGCCATAAACATAAATCGGGCTGGACGAAAGGGGGAGATAGGGAAAGGGGGGGTTACGAAATCTTCTGCATGCAGCTGGTTTCGGCCACACCGAGGGGCCCATTCCTCGATACATGGCCGCCTCCGGCGCCGGGAGGCGCCGGGAAAATCAGCTACGTGAGCTGATTCTCCCCCCCCCCCTTTGCTACCCCCCCCTTTCGCCCAGCCCGAATGAACTTTTGGCGCTTCGCGCGGATTTCTTGGGTCCGCGCTGGGCTCCCCCTGGCGGCGCATCATGCGCCGCCCCTCACGCGCTCCGCGCTCGCCAAGGGGGGGGCCCAGCGCAGGTCCAAGAGATCCGTGCGGAGTGCCAGAAGGTTTATGTTTATGGCATTTATCAGGAGGGGAAAAACACAGACACAATTAATCGTCGATTCTCCAGAAAATACAGGAAAATATGGGAAGTGGGGGGGAAGACAAAAGCCCAGAAAATATGAGAAACTATGGGGCAGATGTTTATGTGTGTGTATTTATTTGTGTGTCCTGGGGCCCCTTCAATTTAGTCTTCTTCTAGATCAAAGATGCAGGCAACTCCATGGGAGGCGGGGTAGGGTTCGGATGCCGTCGAGCACGTGGCGAGATCCGAACCCTGCCCCCGCCTCCCATCGATTCCGGAGAATCGGCGGTTGGCGGGGGTAGGTTTCGAAGGTCGCCACCTCATGTTCGCTTCGGGTGACCTTTTTTTCTGGGGTCCACCTAACGGATGATACATTTGCTCGGCTCCGGCTCGGCTCCGGCTCGGCTCCAGCTCGGCTCCAGCTCGACTTCAGTCGACGGGCGTTCGACGCGGTGTGGCTCCAGGAAGGTCCCCAGGGCGAGCATCTGATACTCGGCGGCGAGCTTGGGGGCTAAGTGAGAGGGGGCGTGTCTTCTCAGAAGGCTCGGAAAGCCTCTGGCCTTCTGAGAAGTTTTCAAGGCCTTCTCCGAAGATGCAGGCTGCTCCTCAGAAGGCCAGAGAGCTTCTGAAAAAGCCCTGCGGCCTTCTGAGCAGGCGTGCCCCCTCTCGCTCTCCCCGGGGCTCGCCGCCGCGACGAGGTCCACCCCCCGTTTTCTCCCCACATGTATCCTCGCTCCTCCTCCTCCTCCTCCTCACTCCTCACTCCTCCTTCTCCTCCTCCCCCTCCTCTTCCGCCTTCCTTCTTCTCCTCTCCTCGTTATCCTCCTTCCGTTTTCTCGCTCCTCTCGCTCATCCTTTCCTCATCGTTTCCCCCTTCTCCTCTCCTCCTCTCCTCCTCCTCCTCTATCCTCTTTCTGCTCCTCCTCATTCATCCTCCTCCTCATCCTCTCCTCTCCCCTCCTCCTCTCTCCTTCCTCTCCTCCTCCTCCTCTTCCTCGCTCCCGCTCCGCGCTCCTCGCTCCTCGCTCTTCCTCCTTCTCTTCCTCCTCCTCCTCCTCCTCCTCCTCCTCCTCCTCGCTCCTCCTCCTCCTCCTCTTGCTTCTCCTCCTCCTTCTTGCTCCTCCTCCTCCCCTTTCTCCTCATCCTCGGTCCTCGCTTCTCACTCCTTAATTCTCCATCTTCTCCTCGCTCTTCCTCCTCCTCCTCCTCTTCCTCCTCCGCCTCCTTATCCTCCTCCTCCGTTCTTCTTCTCCTCCTTCTCTTTCTCCTCCTCCTCCTCCTCGCCCCTCTTCCTCAATATGTCACGCTCCTCCTCCTCCTCCTTCACTCCTCCTTCCTCCTCTCCCTTCCTCCTTCACTCCTCCTCCTCCTCCTCTTTCCTCCTCCTTCCCTCTCCTTCTTCCTCACTCTTTCTTTCCTTCTTTTCCTCCCTCCTCCTTCCCTCCCACCTCCTCCTCATCTCCGTCTGTTCCTCCGCGCTCCCCGCTTCCTCCCTACCTCATCCGCCTCCTCCTCTCCTCTTCCTCCTCCTCCTCGCTCTTCGCTCTCTCGCTCCCTCATCTCTCCTCGCTCCTCGCTCCTCCTCTCTCCTCCTCCTCCTCCTCCTCCACCTCCCTACCTTCCTCTTCTTCTGCTCCTCATCTCCTCTTTCTCCTCCTTCTGCTCTCCACCTCCTCACCATTCTTCTGTCATCGCTCGGACTCATCCTCCTCCTTCTCCGCCTCCTCCTCCTCCGCCTCCTCCGCCTCCTCCTTCTCCTCCTTCTCCTCCTTCTCCTCCTCCTCCTCCTTCTCCTCATTGCTCCTCCTCCTGTTCCTCCTCCTCGTCCTCCTCCTCATCGCTCCTTGCTCCTCGCTCCTCGCTCCTCGCTCCTCACTCCTCCTCCTCCTCCTCCTCCTCCTCCTCCTCCTCCTCCTCCTCCTTCTCCTCCTCCTGCCCCGAGGGGGCCCCTCCCGTAGGGGAGGGGTCGGGACCCTAGGGTCCCCCTGGCGCAGGCGGGGAGCGCCGGGCCCGAGGGGTGAAAAGCCCCCGCGCCCCGGGGGACGCCGCCAAAGCGCGGTTTCCTTCCCCCGGGGGGGTCGCCAGGCCCCGTGTGCTTCCCCAGGGCGGTGCTGGGTTCCCCCCCAGCACTTGCCGCCCTGGGGAGGGGTCGGCGGCCCGTCCCTGTCGTGTCGCTCGTTCGTGTCGTGTCGTTCGTGTCGCGTCGTTCGTTTCGTCCCCCTGTCGTGTCGTGTCGTGTCGTGTCGGGGTCCCGGGGTCCGAAAAGCGGCCACCCATGGAGTGGGTGGTGGGTAGGGTTGGCGCGGAGCACGTGCTCCTGCGCCCCCTACCCCGACCAGGGAGCGCGGAGCACGGTCTCCTGCGCTCCCGGGTCGCGCTTCGGTCGCGCCACGGGGGCACGGCCCCGACCGTGGCGCGGCCG